GTGTTTATGTATTGCATGAATTTGAGAAGACCATTGGATATTATTCTTTTCATTTGAAAAGGTAAAAATCACTTTGTTGCTCAAAAAATACAAGGCAATTTGTAGCTTCCAACCTATCAAGATCCTATGAGAGGATATCATTATATTTTTATTTCGGTAGAATTCTTACAATTTTCTTTTTTTGGCAGTAGTGGGCAGACAAAGAAGCTAAAAGCAGAATTTTCAAATTACAGTTTGCGAGATAATATTTAACATCACCTCTCCATAAACTTCTTTTTATATTTTCCAACATACCACATTATTCAAAACTTCATTTTTACTCATACACCTATAAATAACCAATAACAATAAACCCTATAAACCTCATTATGGGTCTCACTTGTTTTCGACTAACTTTAATTAATATTATGCTCTTATATTCTTATGAATATATTAAAACTATAAACCTAAAAGTTCCATATACTTATCATAAATACATATAAAGAAATAATATAATTATATTTCATTATTTATAGTTATAGAGTGTTAAGTTCGTACCAATGCAATGTTTTACTTTAAAAAAATTACTAAACATAGAACTTACATAATATTGAAATCAAAATTTGAGTACGATATTTTTTCTAAGTATTAATCTTGGGAAGTGGGTCCATCCCAAATATGGTCAACCAAATCGTGTCAAAGTTGATGATAGATTTGTCTGAATTGCACATCAACTCTTATCAGCAAGTAACTTCGCAAATTTGGAGACATCCTTCACGCGCCAGCGCTGGAAGTTATCCATCATCATTAGACCATTTGGTAGCTTCTTTGCCTTCATAATCAGTTATCATGTTATTTAAAATGATACATGATAACATAATTTCGCTAAGATCTTCTTTATACCAAAAAGGAGAAGGACCTAGTATAATTGCCCACTTTGACTAAAGGACCCCAAAAGCACGTTCAACGTCTTTTCTTGCAGCCTTTTGCCTATGCTTGAATATTTTTGCTTTTGGTTCCTCTGGTCATTGAAAGATTTTGACGAATGTAGCCCAATCTAGATACATACTGGATACTGCCTATTAAGTGGTATCCTTTGGTATATTGAGTCTTGTTAACCATAAAATTGACCTCTAGAGCTACATCATGTAAAAAATCATTGAATAATGGAGATGTGTGTAGTACATTAATATCATTTCGTGCTTGGGTGCCAGATCCATAAGTCTTGTAAGGCCACTGCTTCAAGCATAATCGTGAGTACCCCATGCCCCATGGTCCCCTCAAGTGTATGAGTCTTGTCGTTCAACTGGACAATTTTTTCACTCCCACTGCATACAATCTAGATTTCCCAACATGCCAGGGAAACCATATGTTCTCCTCGTGTATGTAAGTACTTTTTGGATGTCATTCGTATTATGGGACGCAAAT